AAAAAAAATCGGGATAATTTACATACCAATGAATGGTCAAGTTGTAAGGCGACATGTTTAGAACGTGGACGATAAGAGTGTCGCCTTCGCGGACTCGAATGGTTGGCCCGGGAAGGCTACCGTTAACCGCGGTAATAACTTGATTACGACATAGCCGGTTTACGGTAAGATTTTTCACCTGAAGTGATTTAGTTGAAAGTTAAATTACTCATGATTTATCATTTTTGTGTGAGAAGATGGAAAAAAATTATAATAAGTTATAGTGTGATGAATTTCTATATAAGTTAATTTCTAGTGAAAATATAAGACTGCAATTCATGACACAACACGATTAATAAGTATGATTATAGTAACTGCAGATCATATTATGACATGACATGTAAAAAGATCGAAAGATGAACATTACATGAAACGAATGCTCGACAATGGCTGCAGAAGCTAACGACGAACAGGCCAGAAGAGTAACAGCGCACGCCAAGTAGACGACAATTCGGGCCATTTTTTTTTTTTTTAAATAATACTAATTAGATATATGTGAATATAATGTATTTTAAAATCCCAAAGCCAAAAGAGGTAAGGATATGAAGAGTAAAGATATGAGTCTCTTATTTATACCAAAATTGGAAGGCTCTCTTATGAAAATAAGTTAATTTTTAATAAAGTACTTGTAAATTTAATTGAAAACAATGTTTTCTTGTACGTGTTGAACTTGCTATGTCATTGTGGATTTTATTTTAATTTTTATTTAAATAGTTTTTTCTATTTAATTAGTGATTAAATTTCTAATGTTTTGCGTGAAGGGAAGCTCAAAATCTGCCATGGATATGAAAATTATTAGGTGAAATTAAAGCTGCTTCGTTACCTAACGGTTTTGATTTGGTCATCCAATGCGTTTTCTAAAAATTGTTATTTTCTCAAACAGGTTTTATTTTAATTATAATCGGTAAGTGATTTATTTATTTATTTATTTATTTATTTATTTAATTTGTCTTTTTCTAATAATTAATACGCAGAGTATAGAGAGCTGGAATTTAACAAATGACATTAATATTAGCACAAATTCTATTATTTGACACGCGGCTAATTTAGGCGGATAGAACAGTTATATTTTATTTTTTCTAATAAAAATATTTGTTATGTTATGAAATTTTATAATTTTCATGTGCCCTTTTATTTTTACGGAATATAATGTTTCAATTTGAAAATATATATCTATAATTATAAAAATTGTAATTATCTTGCCATTACATCTTACTAGTCTTCCTGAATTAATGGTCACTTCATCGTTTAGGCTAAATTTCATATTTAGTACACTATGTTTGGTTATTTTTTTGAAAATGAGTATTCAAGAATAGTTCACTAAATTGTCATTTCAATCAAAAAACTTGTACAAAAACTAACATAGTGTACTAAATATGGCAACTAAAAACGTTCACTTTTAGTTCACTATATTGGTTATTGGCAAAATTTCAAAAATATTCCACTATGTTGGTCATTTCCAATCATTTTTACTACACTATCTCGATTTTTTGTACGGATTTTTGATTAAAAATGGCAATTTAGTGGACCATTCTTGATGACACCTTATATGATGGACTTTTTTCGAAAAATGACCAACATTGGTTATTGTACGAATTTTGATTAAATTGGCAACTTAGTGGACAATTTCTTGATGACGCCATAGATGATGGACCTTTTTCGGAAAATGACCAACATAGACAATTTTCTTAATTTTGCCTTCACTTTTAACTCAAGATTGCAATTGGACCATTAACTTTACATACATAGCATATTTAATATACTTCATTAATATTTCAATATTTAGTTAAAAATAAAATTAGCACATTTAATCTTTATTTGAATTAAAAAAAATTGATTTTCGATATATGAGGAAGGTCATAACTTAACTAGTTGGAAGTGGATCATATATACATGCTGGCCAACTAATCCTATTTATACTTTGAAGAAAATTCATAAACCTAATCCTATTTAAAGATCACAAATGTTGTTGATAGGTTGATTACTAACCATTAGTCAGTTATTATTATTATTATTATTATTATTATTATTATTATTATTACTATTATTATTATTATTATTATTATTATTACTATTATTATTATTATTATTATTATTATTATTATATTTTTTTTAATTAAAACATTTTTATTTTTTTTTTGTCTTATATGAACTCCAAAACGAAGACATTGATAGAATTGACAGTTGCATAACGACTATACTAATTAATAATACTATTTAATATAGCTCTCATAATTAAGTACACCAATATAGTCTAAAATGGAAACTTTTGGGGATTGTCTTGTTCGTTAAGAGTTAGGTTAACGTTGTAACAATTTTGAATTAAACTATAGATCTTAGTTCTTACATCATTGTCTCAATATAATGATTTGAAAGTTTTTTTTTTTTCTTTGTACAAAAATAAAAATTGTATTCAGTAATCCATGCTTAACAAATTAAACATTTCTTGTAAAATAATAGTGTAGCATTCGTAGATATCTCGAAACGGGTTGGCGGACCTTAAAAAAGATGACTTTTAATACGTAGGGTTGTAAACTAGTCGAGCGGCTAGAAAGTCAACTCGAGCTTAAATTTGATCGAACTCGAGCATTTTGAAGTTGATTTTGAGCTCGTGCAAGTGTCATATTATTTAATCGAGCATGGTTCCGTATAAGGCCAATGCTCAATAACTCAGCTCGACTCATTTGTGCTTTTTTTTTTTTAAGAAAAAATAGCATTTCGTTTCGATTAGAAGCTAATCCAATAAGCGATTTACCAAATAAATTATTTGGTGTACATATTTAACGAGTCAAATCTCTAATTGACGTTGAATTGCTAAATTTACAATAAGTTTAGTTATGGACTATTGACAAAAGTACTTCAAAAGTTTAACCAACGCTGTAATAATAAGTAAAAAGTTTCGTGAAAATATTTTTTTATAATTAATGTAAACTTCTCTTTCATTAGTTTATTTCTGATTGTTCTTAATTAGAAAGAGAAAGCTTAACTAACTTTCAGACCGTGTAATTTATATTCCTATGTACGCCATTAACAACTACTTTTAGATAGTAATTTGACTTTTGATTTGAATGATTTATCGTGTCAATTTTTTTTTTTTTTTATTTTGTCTCTGATTTTTTATATAAAAAAAGTCTAAAGAATTGTGTACAAGCAAATTTTTACTAGATTTTCAAGCTTGTCGGTGTAGCTTAAACTTGGTGAAATTGTTCTTCACATTTCCCTGTTGATTTTGGTCATATTTATTCATTGAAACCTCTTACTATTAATTTTTCTGTAATACTACGAATCGGATTTGATTATCGTGATTTATATATAATTGTATTTAAAAGAAAATAAAAATAGTGTTTCGTATTCGAGATTAACCGAATCGGAATGCACCCATACAATGGCGGATCTACATAGGGGCCCGTGCCCCTGTAGAACTTTTAGTAAATATAGTGTGTATATATATATATATACTATGTATAATTAATGTATTATTATATGGACATAAAAAAATATATGTTATATTAATTATTATGCAAAGTTATTTCAAAATAAAATAATAAAAATAAAATGTTTAAAATTATTTAACCAGTATTTTGTTTTTTAAGTTGGTGAAATTTATGTTTATGATATACTCAATTTCTTGTTTATTTCCTTTCTCATCCCAAAATACATAAAAAAAATAAATAAATATTATGCATGAATGTATATACTATATAGGGATTGGATCAAATGTGTCCCTATGTGAGAATCAACTCTAGCTATTAAATAAGAAAAAAAGTGTTTGGTCAAGAATTAATCTTTTTATTTTTTTAATTGGTTAAATATTGATTTGAAGGTTGACCTCCGGCATTGACTGTGGTCGTCACCTTTGTTCTTAAAGGCTGCGTCCACCCCTGCACCCATATTTGGTTTGTAACTATTGAATATTTGATTATTAATAATACTAATTATAAAAATTTTAATATATTATTTACAATTTGTTTATATATGGATGTAATTTAGTGTAACAGCGAATATTGGCCTACCAATAATTGTTATTTGTCCTTGTGAGAAGTAAATTCAAATTCAAATGAAAAATAGAATTTTTGTCTTCAAATATTATTTTGTCTTCAAAAATTTATCCTAGTTTGAATAGACACATATTGTATTTTAACCTGTTAATATTTGACTAATTAATTATGTAAGAATTAATATATCATTCAAAATATAAAATTTATTTTATTTTAGGAATTTATGTACGAATGTAATGCTGCGTACGGGCCGCATGCTGACCTATTGCATTGTATTGCATGTCACCCTTATGATAGCTCCACACCCAACTGATTTACCAAAGATATAGGAGGCCTACATTAAAGTAAGTATTCAAATCGGCCCAAATTTTTATTGGGCCAACCAAAACAAAGCCGTACCAACTGGGCCTTTGATGTTCGTTACGGACTTTTATTCATAACTCAGCAGAGATTACGTATTTTTTTTTATCCGACAATTGAACGGAAATTGACTTCCAGTCAGCTGAGGTATGCGGCGACGGCGCTGCCGGAGAAGACTGCGAGGCGCATTAGCGGACGATGACGGGCGAGCGAGATAAAGATCTCTACACCGAGTCAAAGGGCCGTGGTTGCCGGACGAAGACGCGATGCTGAGTCAACTTGTTAGCAGCTTCGGCGCCCGGAATTGGAGCCTCATTGCGCGAGGAATTCCCGGCCGATCAGGAAAATCATTCCGCCTCCGGTGGTGTAACCAGCTCGATTCCGCCGTTAAACGCAAGCCCTTCACTGGTAATTGAACAAATTCATTTTGTTCTGCTGGCTATGGACTTAATTTTATTCATATGCTTCAGCAATATGTTCTGTATTGAGGATTGTGCTTTTTTCTGTGAAAAAAAAATGGATAAAATTTGGTGAAAACTTAAATTCAGGAGCAAAATGGGGATGCAAATTAATGTTTTTAGGTTTTAGCAATTGGGGCATGTGTAGAGGTGATCAATTGCCGGGCCGCGACCCGGCCCGCCAGGTCGACGGGCTTCAATGTCATGGCCCGTGACCGGCCCGTAATAAACTATGAGCCGGTTCACGTGCCGGTACGGCCCTTTAAAAAAAGAAAAATAACACCATGGCCCGTCGTCCGACCCGCGGCCCAGACCGGTGGGTCAAAAGAAAAATTATGGACCGGGACCGAACCCCGGCCCTTAGGAGGCCGGTTCATGGCCGGTTCGGGCCCGGCCGGGGCCAGTTCACGGGCCTCTTCGCCCGTGGACATGTCTAGGCATGTGGCTATAATTGTATTGAAACATGAGATAGAAATGTGGAAATTCAATTCAAAAGAAAAAAAAAAAATAAATAAATAAAAAATTTTGTATTAGAAATATTTTGTGCAAGACAACTTGGGTTTTTATAAGTAATGGCTATCATCTCATTTTGTACAAGTGACATCTGCAAGATTCATTTTTTTCATCAATTTGATGCACTCCTA